ACCATTAAAAATTATGAAAAAAATAAATTAGACTTACCCTTCTCTCCATGTGTTCTGTTGTCAAGTAAACATTGTCTGTCGTCATTCCATGGGCGGGCATGGGTCCAGGAACTTCACAAAACCACAACTTTCACAAAAAGTAAAAACTCACAAAAATGTTGCTGTCCCAGCTTCTCGAAACTTCACTCTACTATATCAACTAAAGATACACACACACAGTTATCCCATTTCTGAGAAAAATTGTTCAGAATACAGAAAGTGCCATTTTGCCCTCTGCTGTGTTTTCCGCCACAAATGATTTTCTTTATATGCAGGTGGCCATTAGAACACATTCTACTGTATTTTCCATCTATGGAAAGATTGGTGGCCACAACATCAGTGGGCTCAGATTAAGAGAGATGTTAGTGAATTCAACAGGTCGATGTCGATATCAGCAGTTCACAAATGATGGTGGCACATGCCACGAATTCAGGCGGAACTCTTTGACAATGTGGATATGCCTTTGCGTTTGTTTTCACCTTTCATTATTAAGTTCCCTTGTTGAAAAGAAACCGTTTTTCTATTTGAACTTGCTCAGGCTGAAAGGTTAGATGGCCCCTGGATTGGAAAAGTAAAGTATTTGAACTTGCCCGTTCCTTCCATCACCTGCTCTGTCAATTTTGGCCCTTCTGCTTTAGTTGGAGAAACTTAAGAAAAGTGTAATGCATGGTATAGTACAGCTAACTTACAGTATAGCCTGGATAGCTTGAATTCGTCGGGACCGGCCTCGGTAGTTCGAGGGATCCGTAGTTCGAGGGATATCTTATATAATGATAAAGAAGGAAAAAAAGGGAGCGGTTCGACTGATACGTCATTTCGAGTCTTTTGTGTTTGACCTATCCGTGTTATTCTGTAAATAGTGGCAGCAATTTGATCGGTTCTATGGACTAGGCTGCCTTGCAAATGCTACTTTAAAAAAAAGGGAAATTGTCCATTTAGAAATAAATGTTCTGTCCTCTGCTTTCGTCTCCACTCTCTGCCCCCTCCCCCTCACCTCCTTTGCCCCCTGCTATGTTTCAACCACACCCCTGGTTTTATGGTAGGTAAGATCTAACACCAAGCCTTCTCGGATAAGGGCGAAAAAATCTTTGAGGACTCGTGTGCAAGTTGTGCTCGTTAAAGATCCCTTGGTGGTCCAGAATCGAAAAGAGCAGGCTTCTGCTGCCACCCGGAAAAATAAGAAAATTTCCTACCAACTGAAAATGTTTAATGTGTCCCACGTGCTCATTTGACCTTATGCAGTTGCGAGCGCCGTAAAACACTTACCCCCCCCCCCCCCCCCCCCCCGCCTCCCCCCAAAAAAGAATGAAAATATTGATAAATATCAGGTACTCATCTGTGAATTTGTTTTTTTCAGGAGAAATCATCATGTTCGAGGGGCTGACCTGTGTATACAAGAGCAATGTAGATCTGTTTTTCTATGTTGTTGGTTCATCAATGGAAAATGAGGTAATCTTTGTTTAGTTTGCTGAATGCTGTCAGTTAATTTCACTGACACTAGAAAGGTTGTTGTCTCGAACAGAGTTGTATTTTTCATGTCAGACTCATCAATTTTTGGGTATATGGAGTAATTGATATAGTCTTAGAGCCTGTTCATTTGTCTTGCTTGTGGTGGAAAAAAAATACCCCTCTATCTTGAAAGAGATGAAATATTTGCAGTTGGATGAAGTAGGGATTACATAATCATAGTAAAATAAGCGAGAAAGTCGCCACCAAAGTTTGGTAATTTCCAAAGATTGAGTGCCCGTGGAAACTGGAAATTTACAAGGTTTTTTAATGACTTTCATCTATGCATTTCAGTAACATCCACACAGAAATGTATTTTTAAATTGACTAAAAAGTCTTGATCCTAAAATAAACAATTCTTTAAAAGTCTGATTTCTTCACGATGACACATTTGCTGTTTTCCAGGACAATGAACAGACAATTTAGTTTTGTGAAAATTTCATTTCGTTTTCCATTTCTGCCTTGAGTGGTAGGGTGAAGTTTAAATTTTAAAAATCTTGTTCTTACATTTTTGTTCTTTATTTTTGTCACTTTTCCAGCTTATCCTGGCAAGTTGCCTCAATGCCTTCTACGACTCAATCAGCGAAATACTGCGCAAGAATGTGGAGAAGAGAGCCCTCTTGGACAACTTGGATGCAGTTTTCCTGGCAGCGGATGAGCTTTGTGATGGAGGGTTCGTGTCGATATTTAGTGTAGACCTGCATGTTTGCCGACAATCGTCTGAAATCTGACAATCGCGACCCCGACCCGCGAACCAGCCGATGCTATCGCTAGGCCCACCTGTATTAGTCAATGTTCGAAGTGCGAGGCCTGGTCGTGTGCCAACGACCCCTTTTTCTCCTGTCGGCTTTGTCGGCACTTTCGTTTTCGTGTCGACCGCCGATGCGCGCACCGCCGACTGCCGACGTCGGCGTTCCGACATAATTGTCGGAACCTGAGTAGAAATACGAATACGAAAAAGTACGACGACTTAAATCATCTACTTTCAATTTCTTGCTCGAGCGGCCATTTTGAATTTCGTTTGTTTACTGATTGTTCAGATCATGTGGATTCTTTCAAGTCCGACTCACTTGTTCTACTCTAGATCTAGATCGAGATTTATATACATCATTATAGACCTCAATGGAGGATTCATATTCCAATTCTATTGTGTCAAACCATATTATAGGTTGTGTTGTAATATTAATGTTGGTAAAACGCATTTTATCAGGTGCGTGAATTATTTGCTTAGAATAAAGGTCTAATCTAGATCTAGATCTAGATCTAGATCTAGACCTAGACCCCTAGACTCAACTGAGTCTCTCTCTTCGGAATCGGATGCGGATTTCTCGTTCAAGGTCTAGATTCTAGATCTATTCCTATTCACTTGTTCTACTAGATCTAGATCTAGATTTATTTAGATCACTGAGATCTATATATATATGGAGGATTCATAGATCTTTATCCAATTCTATTGAATTGTATCAAACTCTTTATAGCAATGTAGGCCATATTATTTTTATTATTATAAATGCTCCTTGTTTGTTTTGGAGTGTGCTTATTTCTTTCTTTTTTTTTTTTGGACTTGTGCTGGCCTTTTTACATGAGGGCCGTTGCAGGTTCTTTTTTGGGTTAGGCCTAGGGGTAGGCCGATAGGGTTTGGGTTAGGGTTAGGTCTCTTCTTTATTGTGTTTGTTCGGGTGGTCGCTCGTTACTCGGAAATCCTTCCTTTTATGACGCCCACAATTTAAAAGCTCTAAAGTTATGGCGGGGGGGTTGCTCAAAATTTTCAGACAATCTGGTTGACGCTCACATGCAGGTCAATTAGTGTTTTGTGTGTCTGTATCAGAAGTGCAACCATCCAGAAAAGTTTATGGAGAAAAATACTGGTTAAGGGACAAACTGTAAACATCTGATCTATTTTCTTTCGCACTGGGGATGCACAGAGAACTGGCCAAAAGGCTTCAGTATAATAAGCAAATTTCACTGTCTATAACTGCATTATTATATTAAAGTAAATGTAAGTTACGACCAAACTTTTACTATGAATTTTCAACATTTGTTACTCTCATGTGACACTTCATATCTTGGGCGTCATATGATGTAATTGTGTCTCACCATAACTTACCCCAAAAAAACCCACTCTCTTCGTTATACTCGTTTCATTTTCATTGTGGGCTTTTTACCCCTGTTACAGTTTTTAACCGTCGTAGTGTTTTCTAATCGGCATGTACATGATGATAATGATAATTAGCATTCGCGTAGAGCATATCCCGCTCAACAGCAAGCTCTATGCACTTTACACTGTATTATGATCATTGTTGTATACAAATGCATGAAAAACCTGTGTTTTAAGAGTAACTTTCCTTTGACAGCACCTGGAAGCAGAAGCAAAGATGTCAGCTCTCAGTAAAATTGTTTCCCTTATTGTGTTGTTTGCTTCTGGTCTAGGTTATACCGTTATTAGACATCTTTCCAGAGTTGTGGGGGGAGGGGGTTGAATGTAAATTAAGTCTGTTTTGATAAGGTATGATTAGTTGATAGTTGAATGTACGAATAGTAGGATAGTTGAATGCAGAATGTAGGAATTGGGAATTTGGGATCTGCATTTATTTTAGGTGAACAAAGGACGGAAAAAAATTGAGTAGTCATATCATTTTACTTCTTTAGTGACGTGGTTCTTTTCTTGTGATTAATTTAAGCGAGTGAGACTCTCTGTTTTTTTTTTTTTTTTTTTTTTACTCTGTTGTTATAACTTTCTTCTTTATTCCCCAGGATTGTGCTAGAAAGTGACCCCCATCAAATTGTCCAGAGGGTGGCCATCAGAAACGACGACATCCCCTTGGGAGAACAGACAATGGCCAAGGTAAGGGCAGGCGACCCCTGGGATTTTGAGAGATTCTGTAAACAGGGTTGCCGCGGCCTCCTTGAATTCAAGGAGTCCTTGAAAACTGCTTGAATTTGCATTCAAGGAAAAATCTCCTTGAAAACTGCTTGAATTTGCATTCAAAGGAAAATCTCCTTGAAAACTCCTTGAATTTTGCCAGATCGGACAGGAACACAGGGTGACTGCCAGGCCCCGGGAATCCCAGGGGCCGCTGAAATTACCCAGGAATTTGAAAAAAAATCGCCGAGGCCCGGAATGCAACGGGAATTTTAAGAAATCTGTAAACTGCCCAGTGAAAGTGAAAGACCCGGGAAAATACATAAAAGTTCTCGAATGTTTGAAAACCAAATCCGATAATGTCCATGAGTTCATTTTTGCCGGTCGCGATTGTGATATATTTATTCGGCCTTTCCTGGCCTGAGGGTACGTTTCACGCGAACAAGCAAGCGGTTATGGCGGCAACAAAGTGGAAGTGTATAGACCTAATGTGCGATAAAGAAGCTCGGTCGGAAAAATCAAGGTCTACTTTCGCTTTCGTCACCACCCTGCAATTTGCCGGTAGGTTAGGCCTAGTAGTCTGATAACGCCACTTTTGTAACATGCAGGTTCTGTAGTACACACGCTGTGTCGCCATGAAAATAAATTGTTTGTCCTGTGCTGTCACTTGTGAAAAAAAGAGAAAGAAAAAGAAAGTTATACAAGCTTCTTGTCGGGCTTGCCATCGTGACCGGTCATTGAACCTGTGCGTTTTCCTCACATCGTGAGTATCGGCGATGGTTGAGGTCACAAAAGTTCATTTTAAGTTTCAGAGCTGCGAAGTATAGGACTCAGGAATGGGGGGATTATTGATTTTTTAAAAAGACGCACGCGGGGGAGGGGGTGGGTGGGGTTGAAGGCAACACCGGATGACAATAACTGAACCTGGAAGCAGATTATACTTTTCAGAATTTTGATTACTAGATCTAGAGCTCTCTGCAAAGCGCGCCTTGGTGCAGGCCTTGTGTGGAATCGGGATCTGTCATACTCAAACCTTGTTAGCCCTAGTTTTTAAAAAAACTAAAGGGTTCCCGTTTCATTTGGTAGGTGGTAGTAAATTACATGTATATGTGCTTTATTTTAGCCTTCTGTTCAAGATTCGCAGATTTTCAGTGTCACTGCATCTTGCCCTCCCACAGTTCTTACACCTCTCACACTGAAGAGGTCTACTTGAGCCATTCAAGTTATAACTCTACTTTGAGTTTGAGCAATAATTTTTGTTTTTCACGTTTATTATATAAACCCTGACTCCCAAACTGGTTCTTGACGGTTGATATTCTGGTTCTAGGCCTTTTCTCAGGCTCAAAGCATGATTCATTTTCATATAGTTTTTATAGGCGAATAAGATGAAGGGGGAAAAAATAAGTAAGAACAGACTGAAATACCTAAGTCACACAGTATCCCAGTGCCACACTGACATGTTGTTGACTGGATATAATGTGCCTACATGTGTGTATATATATATATTATATTATAATATATAAATGGAGCATGCACTGTCATTGTGTTATGTAACATGCCCCTGGAGGATGGATGGGCCCCCTTGGAAAATTGAGAAGCCCGGTTGGCAGTCACCCTGGGAACAGTTTTTGTAGGAAAATCGAAACCATGATGATTCCTTTCGGACAATAGGCTTTCGTCATGAATTTCTTGACCAAATCTCCTTGAATTTTAACAATTTCTCCTTGAAACCTCCTTGAATTTGATGGGAAGTTCTTGGCAGGAACCCTGTGTAAAGCAACCTTGTTCTTGCGTTGCGTTTTTTTTTTTTTTCCCTGTCTTGATCATGGGAGCTCTTTGAAAGCACTTTTATTGTTTGAATTACTGGGATGTGTGCATGCATGTGCCAACGCAGAAGTGTTTAGTATTTGTGTTGGGGAAGTTTTAGTCGTTTAAAGGGTTTTTAACTTTTGGAGTACATTTTATGGTGAGTACTTTTCTCGTAATTAAAGGTTTATTACTAATGTTTTTAGGATATATATATTGGTTTCTGGTTTTAAAAAATAATTTTTCGGTGGGTTTTAAAAAAATGTAATTTTTTTAGGGGGTGGGGGGGGGGATGCTGTGCTAATGCTAAACTAGCTTGCAGGGCTGTAGAAAAAGTGTAGGGTTGAGAGCATCGAAGGTGATTTAACATTCTAAATCACAGATGCTAGTAGCGGCACGATTTATTTTTTCTTTGCAGAAATAGAAGGTGCTGGCTGTTGCTTGTACAAATAGACTGTGGGGTTCGACAGCAATAGCTTTGTTCTGTTGTTTCAGGGAGTAGAGAATGCCTTAAGAGGGCTTTTCTTATTGAGTGATTGATGAGGAACTGATTTTGTAAGTCTGCAGGTTTTCCCACTCCCTTCCTCCTCCCTTATATTATATCGCCAGCTGTTTTCTTCATCATGCTAATTGGCCATCTTATAGTATCTCTATTTATGTTTCATACTCTAGCATTTAATACTTTAATAATAATTTTAAAAAAAACATATGTTGAGAACCTGTGGTTGGAGGGTGCCTCCGTTCATTTCTACCTTTTTCGTATATTCATCTGCCTTTAGTACAAGGGTACTGTGGCAGTTGCTCTGTTGAGGTCTGCTCCCCAGTGTTTTATTCCAGTATCTGTAGTGTTGTCTGTTCCAAACGTAATATTAAGGTTGTTTTAGTGACTGGCCATAGACTATAAGTGGACGCGGACACCTATCATCTTTCCTTTTACTTTTACCAGTGTGTGCTGTATTACTTTTATGAATACATGTGTTTGTTAGTTTGGGGTTGTTTTTGTGTTTTTGAGGGGGAGGGGGGGTGAATTTGTTTTTTAAAAAATGTTTAATGTTTTTTCTTTTTAAAGCAACAGCAAAAACAATATGTAGATATACTGGCTGTGTTTGTTTGACCACAGTAGTGATGTCAGAAAGCTTAAAGCCTCTCAGGTGGGTGATTGGAGGGCGCCTCTAGTAGGTCCTAACCTACCTCTTTACTTTCCCCTCTGTTGTTTCCGTCAGTCTGTCTTACCCTTTTCCCAGCACTAAATGACCATTATTGTGTCAATGTGCTTCTCTTTACTCAAACAAGCATAAACAATCAAAAGCTTCTCAAGGCTACTATTTGTGCTTTGCCGGGGGGGGGGGGGGGGGGGCTGCTGTGGTGTGTCAGCTGTGTCAACATGGAACAAATTTGCAGCTTAGTCTGTGGGTGGGTGTCGGGTGCTCTGGTGTGGTTTGCTCCTTCTTTCCCATCAAACATCTGTCATCCTTATCTCCCCTCCTTTTTAGTGTATGTTACTCTCTTGTAACAGGTAATCTATTCTTCGGCACTTATATGACCTGATTGTGCCATAAAACTCTTACTAAAACTAAAAACATCTAATCTTCGGCACTTATATGACCTTATTGTGTTGCAAGTGCTGTAAAACTCTTACTAAAACAAAAAAACCCCAGCGGCTTAGTCTCAGACTGAAGCATTGTAATGTTGCAGAGCTCACTGAGAGAACTGTACCTGACTGTTTGTTGCCTTTGAACCCCACGACCTCATGAGCTTAATTGTCCCCGACTTCTCCCGGGCTTCTCTGCAAAAAATCACCCTTGCATAGAACTTGACTCTTGTGGTTCGCATTAAGCCTCTTAGTGACATGTTCATAGTCCACTTTTCCTGAATATTGATAAATACTGATTGGTGAGTGGTTGAAGGCTGCTTTGATGTTTTTTGCTCCTTCTATGATATCAAACTTTTCACCCTTATCACTCCTTTATTATTTTTATTTTAAAATTTTTTATGTTACTCTTAAGTACACCTCTAATCTTCAGCTGAAAAAAAAAATAGCAATATGGAGTTTCTTCTTCTCCATATTTGCTTATGTTATGCCTGTTCCATCCAGCATTTCTGCTCTCTGAGGCTGTTCTTAATTTGCTCATAGTTAGAATATTTTCCCCTTTTTTTTCTTTGTTTCCAAGTAAGAGCTAAGAGTGCGATTCCATGACTTGGTTGTTTATTTTTGTGTGTATGTATTGCATAGCATATGTTGCAGTCTGATCTGTAATTCACAAAGTCATCTTTACATGATGCTGTATTGGGCCTGTACACTCATTTGCAACTCTCCAAATTTGCCCTGTGATAGTACATTGTATTATTTTTTTATTCTCTGCGTATTATGTTCTTTTGAAACATTTGTTGCTGAGATCCCAACCTGTCGAAGGAGTGGCGTCGGTAGCCTAGTGGTTAGGCTACCGGACCCGTAATCGCGAGATTCCGGATTCAGGGGATCGAGCCTCAGCTCGGTCTGACATTGTGTCCTTAGGAAAGACACTTTACTACTTTTGGCTCAGTCCTTTTTGGAGATGGATGTTAAACTCATAAGTCCCGCCTCTATAATAACCTAATAGTGTTGATAGGGGCGTAAAGACTGCCTGTACCCTTTCTGTCAGAGGCACTGTCTGAAAAGAATGAGTTTTTGTTGCTGCTACTTGTTTTCTTTTAGAGTCCAGATTGAAAGGATGTGGGAGAGTCTTCTTTGACTTTATTAAGCTTATTATGTGCTGGTAAAAATAAGAGTTTTGAACTAATACGAGTGTGGGCTGTTGTAGTGAGGGCTCAGAGTATGAGTTGAATCAGATTGGTGGCATCGGTAGTCTGGTGGTTAGGCTAAGGGGCTCATAATTGTGAAGTTGTGGGTTCAGGGGTTCGAGCCTCAGGCAGGACGTTGCGTCCTTGGGAAAGACATTTTTTTAATGTGAATTTTGCTCACTTCACACCCAGGTGGGAATGGGTACCGGGTCACAGACAGCGAAAGATCTTTTCTGTATGTTAATGTTTTGGTACCTGTAAGATGGTAGCTTGCTTTGTATGCTTCCCAGGAAGTTGAGATTGTTTCAGAATGCTATCAGGTCTGCTGGAGTAATAGTATAGATTGTAAAGACTATAGAACTTGCTGTTGAGCGGGGATTTGAGGTATGCAAATG